TGTGAAAGTGATTTTAATTTCTTGCTAAGATGTCATTAGCAAGCGAAAGTACAACATGTTCTGTGACACACTCGACCAAGAATAAATGTCTCCTTCTGGAAATGAGTGCGAATGATTTGTATCTATTCGAGGACTGAATCGATAAGGTTTCATCCTCAGTCTTATTAATCATTAATAACGGATTTCCTCACGATGTTTGATGCAGCTAAAAGTAAGCAGGTGCGAATATGAATGTTATTGAATTATCATTAACCGACATTGTCTTCTCATCAACATTATTATGATGTTCATCATTATGATGAGATAGCAACTGTTCATGTGTGCATTCGATCCTATCGAGCAGTTCAATAACAAAAGTTATGCTATGAACGAAAATATTGCGAGAGAGAGCATAGGATATGTGATGTGGAAAGGTCTTGAACATCAACGACTTGTCGTTTGATAATAGAAGCTGAAACGGCGATGAATTCATTATTCCTATTGGTGTTTCGCTCAGTTTCTCATCACGTCAGGTTTTTGTTCGAATGAATTCCAACAAAACATGCACTCAGCACTTCAAGAAGCAAACGAATTTTGTGAATTACTAAAACTATTTTATTGGAATGATTCACACAAGGGCATGATGAACAAAACAGAAACTGTCGCAATTCTATCTGGCTGCTGTCCATATTCTCTGGTGCAAGTGACGTGAACTGAGGTCCTCATTCGGTTACACTATCCGATAGCAGAAACTTAATTGAATGTTGGTCATTAGATTTTCGCCGGAATGATGCAATGAACACGTTTGTTAAATCACTGTCGAATTTACTTTATTCACTTCAATAACGTAATAAATCAACGAACATAACATCCACAAGAAAGATGACCAATAATGCATGGCTGCTCACCAGGATTCAGGAACTGACCGGAACAAACGATTCAGTTTTGAAAATAGGCAACTTGCAGATTGTGACCACTATCCACACACTGTCCGAATCACTCATGAGATGCCAATCAGAAGGATTCAGGAAAAATCTAATGAAACTTGATCGAATTGGTGGTACGTGAACCGAAGTGTCCAGTAAATTCTACATATCATGCAGAAAATGCAAGTTAATGCTAACCAGAAGCATTCACTCAATCACATCACTTCAACGAACCATTCATATCTAGAAAGGTTCATCATTAATGATGTTTTCAGCAACGCGCAAATCCATCTCGTCTTCATATGCTATGTAAATTTCACGACTGAGACATCAAATTGAATCATTTCAAATAGAGTCCATAAGAATACTGTTGGAACCATCAGGAGCTTAAAACACCTCGTGCAACTGAATGCTTCATTGTTCCAGGAAGACGCAGAACGAAATTGGCCGATGCACGAAACGGATGGAAGAGAAAGTTGAAGGTAACGATCACAGATTAAAACTTACAAACAATCATTAACAAAACATTCACAACCACTCAATCACACATCGTATTCCAGTTACTTTGAAACGTTAATTCATCTTTTATTGAAGCAAAAATAACGGAAACATTGACGCAAATAGTGCAATAAATATGTTTACAGTCAATTGACAACCATTGAAAAAGTTTTAATTTCTATACATATTTACTTTATTCGTAATGGATCAGTAACGATTAACTGTGAAGCAACACGCAAAGAATTACGTATTATAGTAAGTGAAATCGATCAAATTCTTTGTTTTCTTGATAAATTCTATTCAATCACAATACATTAAATTTTATTCATTTACAATACATATGAATCACAAGCTTTTGACTGTATCCTACATTTCTTCAATTTATGATACTTATTTCTTTCTTTTCATTCGAGCATTTTCGATCAGTCAATCGATTTTTAGACATGAATCTTGCTGCAAAAATTAGTATCCAGAAAATGAGCTGTGATGGCTATTACCGGGTTTCTTGATTAAGGAATTCAACTCATATTCGCATTGTGCATTCAAACTGAACGATACTTTCAACGTAAACTTCAAGATCAAATGAGGATATTTCGATCTGTAAAGTATGGAAGGAAGTATTTCTTTTGGAATTAGGCTCATTGTGAGAAAACGCAACGACTGCGAGATCAGTGAATCGGACATGAGGAGTTTCAGTCCACTGGAAGAAAGTTCATCAAATACAGGTAGTATGGTGGACGGAATCCAAAATATGACGACAAATGCAGATGGATGCCGATTCTAGACGTTTCAGGTATTTGTACGATTGTGCGGTTCAGCTGAAGAGAACTACTGCACATCGTTGACCAAAAAACGACTATGTTTTTGACGACATGCACATGAGATTTAACGAGATGTGCTGCAGCGAGCAATTGATCAAATCAACTGATTGATTCGTTACGCTCGATGTCGTAACATATCCGCATATGCTGACCAATCTTCGGACGTCACTTCAGACTTGAGAGTGCTCAGAATGAACGACTACTTAAAGAATGCGAACACCCTAGCGCCAGCACCCTCCACCATGCTACCCATGCTGCTCACCGCCTGTGTAGCGTTCCCAATAAGTGCGGCACTGTTGCCTGTCGAAACGCCTCCGGTGTTGTTTTCACTCAGTGCACAATTCGCTTCTTCGAGTTGTAGTCGTCGTGTTATCGACTGATAGATCTTACTGTTCAGTCGTTCATCATCAATACCGTGCAACTCGAAATCCGAATAAATCTTCTGAAATATTCGTTCCAATTGTAACGGAGCAATGGACAACCGATCAAAACATATGAACACCTATTGATCATGTCAATAACTGACAGAAAAATGAAATTCACATGAGATAATTGCTAGGAAACTAATTGTAAGTAATTGTAAGTACATGGAAAAATATAATATTTCATTAAATTTGCTAGATCCTTCTAATTTGCGAATTTGCTAAATTTCTTAATTTGCTAGAAATCTGCAGTTACTCGAT